TTACCTACAGAGTTTCTTGATGGTGAAAGGTCTCTTAATAATCCGTTGTGTAACCCACAGTTAAATATGAATAAATACAAACAATTTATTAAAATGCATAAATAGGATAAAACAGTTAAAATGCCACAATTGAATAAATAAGAGCAATTTAAAACAGGTGTGATAATAATTTAATGGGAATGTTTAAGGTAAGCTTATATGAAGTACTGTCCCTTTAAGAGATCCATGGTGCTTTGCTCTGTGACCTTTTGTGACGCAGCTTGCTTGCAGAACGGACCGGAGAGTAGAGGAGATTAGCAGAAGAATTGACAAATCAACACTTTTCTAGAGAGTGATTTAAGACTTGAGAAATAATACCTGTGTGGTTGGTGATTCACAAGAGCAATATCTAATCAAACTACAACGGTTTTGGTGAGTTTCAACTTGTTTTACCGTAACTCTGTTAGTAATTGTTGCACCTGTCGGCGCTAGCTAAGCGCTAACGGCGCTAGCCGAACGGTAACGGCATAACTGTGGAGGAAGCTATTAACTCAAGCTGTTTAACTGCTAACATTTTTGGTTAAGAAAATTGCTTGAGAGTGTATGGCGTGTTGTTAATTGATGAGGGTTATATTGTGTTCGGAGGAAAAGTTAAGTCTTACTATGTGCAGCAGTAATGTTATGACGCAGTAGTTGTAAAATTTATTGATTTGATTTATATTGACAAATTGACTCATTTCTCTTATGACCTGTTATACAGGTCAGGTTTTTTTTGAGCTATTGTTCCCGTTTGAAGTTAAAAGCAGAGGAGTTGCTTCTGTGGAGTGAGCGTGTGTGCGAGGAGACTGCATACACGCCCAGGACACAAGATGGCGAGCCAAACCCGCGGACTCATTTTCTAGAGACTGTTTATCTTCATCGTGCTAGTGAGGCGATCCACCGCACGAGGATGGACTGTCGGTAAACCCTGCCAGAGCGGTAGGAGTGTTGGATTATATTCTTCCCCCTTTGAACTGAACTTTGATTTGATCTGGAGTACCAGAAACTGAGCTCTGAACTGAAGCACTGACCTTTGAATGCTGAGTTGTATAGTGTTTTGTACTTTGTTCTTCATAACTTTCATTGTTGTGATTAGAGGTATAAGTGTTATGCTTTGATTCAGAAATGTGTGATTAATCTCACTTATGTGAAAAGGAAAAATAGTTAACTCAAGAAGATAATTAAACTAAAATAAATTGATCTCAAATAAGAAAGTAACAGACTGGTCTAATATAACTAATCTATCTAAACTAAATGAACCATCTAACTAAGGTGGGTTATCTGAATCTCCAACCTAGGAAATAAACTGAGGTGAGAAGAAAAGAGGTGAAATTAAAAAGATTTATTGCTGATACCTGCAGGTCATTGAATTGTTAAATGTGTGTTTTACCTTTTGAATATTTTCAGTAAAGTGCCGGCTTTTGTATTTAAGCTACCTGGTCTCTGGCTCAATCTTATTTGTTACCCCACTCCATTAGAACCTAGAACTAGTCCAGTAGCGTAAATATTGTGTAATGGTGATATAAGTGCTACATTTGGATATAGCTGAACAATTTAATGATTTTTTTGTTAATATTGGGCAGGAATTGGCAAATAAAATCCCTCCTTGGAATGGGAGTCCCTTGGACTTTATTCCAAAAACATATCCAAAGATTTCATCTTTTAAGCCTCCTACCTTTGAGGAAATAAGTGAAATAATCGACAAACTAAAAATTTCATCAGCTGGTCATGACAACATTCCAGCTTTTCTTGTCAAGGAGGTGAAACAACTTATATTGCAACCACTTTTGCAAATTTTTTCTTTGACAGGCACTGTGCCTCAGGACTTAAAGATTGCCAAGGTCATTCCTTTGTACAAAACAGATGATCCCTGTTGCTTTAATAACTATAAACCAATATCAATTTTGCCATGTTTCTCAAAAATACTGGAAAAATTAATTTACAGAAGGATTATCCTACATTTAGACTCTATTGCAATTCTTTATAAACACAAATATGGTTTCCGTAAAAATCACTCTGTTTATGTCACACTTCCTCACCTGATGGAAAAGGTATATCTGCTCTAACTAATAATGTATTTATTTGTAGTATTTTTATAGACTTGTCAAAGGCATTTGATACCGTCAATCATTCTATTTTATTGGGAAAAAATGCATAAATATGGCTTTCATGATCTGACATATAAGTTGTTAGGTAATTATTTATCTGATTGAAAGCAGTTTGTTTGTGTCAAGGGTTGCAATTCTAATATGGCTGGACTACTCTGTGGGGTACCGCAGGGTTCTATTCTTGGACCTTCATTATTTCTAATCTATATTAATGATTTGGCAAATGTTTCTTTTTTCTCCAATTATGTTTGCAAATGACACTACCTTAATTCTTTCTCATTCCAATTTCAATATTCTGATGAAAGGCAAATGCTGTCTTAGCTGCATATGCTGCTTGGTTTAAATTAAATAAATTATCTTTCAATGTTAAAAAATCGAATTATTTTTGGAGGTAAAAGGTTATACCCTAAAGATTTATGTCAAATTAAAATTGAGTTTATGGAGATGCCTAGAGTTAAGCCGTCGACGTGACGCCGTCATTGAGCATTGGAAGTTCTGCGTCGAGGGAACGCGTTGCTCTGCAATTCACCGCCATGCCGCTAGGGGTGTGTGTTTGTGTGGTTATAGCCGAATCCTCGCTTTTTCTTCCGTAAAGTAAACAACAGTAAATAATGGCGACCGAGGTGGAGCAGCTGTATTTGGAGTTGGAGCTCATCAATATTGAAGAACAAATGCTTATATTGCAAATGTTGAAGCGCAGGCGACAAAGAAGACGTTTGCGGAGGTAGTCTGTACGACGAGGAAGAAAGAGCGGAAAAAGAAACTGCCGGAACTCACGTTCAGAGTGGACAATCACAGCGCTTGCGGTCCGTGTCAACGCGACGCGTAGTAAGGATTTTTTGGAGGTGCGCGTCAGGCTACGGCGTAGGGGTCGACGGCATAGCTACGGCGTCGACGCGACGCAGAAGCATAAACTGTGCTTTACATCCACTAGATTCTTGGGAATTATTGTTGATGAAAACTTAAAATGGAAAAATCAAGTAGACTGGGTTACCAAAAAAGTGAATAAATCAATTGGGATAATAAGGAGGGTTAGTCATCTCGTCTCCAGAAATTGCCTCCTCACTCTTTACTATAGTTTGATTTATCCGTATGTCTCCTACTGTAATATACTGTAGTTTGGGCAAGTACATTTCCTACTACCCTTCACAAAATTCTGCTCCTTCAGCCCGCTTTATTAGAATTGCAACCTGTTCCGAATCGTATGCTGCATCCATTCCTTTATTCAAAGGACTTGGAATCCTTACTATTTATGACATCAATATACTTTAAATCTGTGTTTTTATTTATAAGATATATAAAACTAAAGGACATACTGAGCAGTTTATGTGCTATTTAAGGCAAATTCACAGGTTCATTCTTATGCAACTAGGCAAGCTGCAGATCTTCACCATCCTCAATTTCGAACAAGTCAAGCTCAACTCTCCATACGTTATAGGGGTGCTAAACTATGGAATAACTTTTCACATCTGGCATTGAAATGTTATACTATTAAACATTTMAAAAGATGTTTAAAGGCTCATTTAATTGCTYGTTTATAGSTGGTTCTCTATAGTACTTTTGTCTTAGTTTGCTTACATGRTCATTCTTTGAATTTTTATTATTTAATATTTCTTTCATTACTTAAATATGCACTATACTTAAATGGGTTATTTGATGTTTTTTTTCTTTTTTTGTTGTTGTTTTGTGTTTTTTGTTTTGTTTGTTTAAATTGAATCCTGTGGTTTATTTTAATTTTCTTAGGTGGAGGCTTTATATAAGTCTGTCTGAGCTTTTTGCCTCTCCCTGCACTGATCTTTTTGGTCTTTTCTCTGTATTTATATTTATCTATATATCAAGTGCTAAATAAATAAATAAATAAAAATAAATTCCTTTAAAGATTTCCCCCCAGTTCTTCTGTCTACAAATCACAAAAACAGTGACATATTGTCACCCCATCTTTTATCATCCAAAGCTGATGTTTTGAGATTACTTTTTCATCCAAACATTTAAAAACAAAAAGATGTCCATGTAATGTCATATAAAACAGAAAAGCAACAAATATAGAACCACAAAATAATCACAATTTTTGCATGCTAATTCATATATTGATTGTCAAAGATGTTGATTAATTTTCTGCTCACTAATGGATTAATCAATCAATAATCACATCTGATTTCTTTCTCTCTTTCTTTTTTCTTATCTTGCAGCACTCTACATTGAATGATGGGCCTGTATCATCAAGCAGTCTTCCAGCATCACTAGACCCATCTGAAAAAGAACTCCTTGTGACATTAAGGCGAGTAAACATAGTTGATGATGTCCTCAATGTCTTTATGGAACCTAAGATACTGAATGCACATCTAAAAATGGAATTCACAAAAGAGAAAGCTGTGGACAGTGATGGGGTATCAAGAGAGGCATTTTCCGCAGTCTAGGAAAATTTCTTGGAACAGTGTGAGGGGGAAGATGAACGAGTGCTCTTCGAAGAGTGTGGTTGAAAGGAAACCTGGACCACAAAATCATACCAGTCAGACTGTCACCCGCTTTTGTTCTTGCCTGTTGTCAAGGACTTAGTTCAGTGGATAAAGAGCTGTTGATTATGTCATTTGCCAGATTTATTTCACAGAACTAGCGTGCATCACTTGAAAAATCACTGCAGGGCAACATTGATGAAACTGTTGAGGAGGACTTACTTGACGTTTTTTCAAGAATGGGCTCACACTGCATGCCCTCTAGAGACAACTTGCAGGCAGCCATTTTGACAATGGCCCGCAAAGCTCTTCTTCAAGAGCAAGTTCATAATTGACTGTTTCCACAACATTATTCACAATTCTGTGCCAACACTCATAACCAAAGACAGCATAATGGGGCTTTATGAATCTAAGAGGCCAACTAACAAAAAAGTGGTCCAGGTGATAAAGCCATCAACTGAAAGCCTAAATCCACAAGAGCAGACAGCTCTTAACCACCTGCTACGGTATGTGAGAAACATTGACCAAAGAAAGCTGGAGATGTTCTTACGCTTCTGCACAGGATCCACTGTGCTTTGCAAAGACACAATTGAAGTAACTTTTAATACATTATGTGGATTAAGTCACAGACCTGTAGCACACACATGTGGAGCAGTTGTTGAGTTACAATGCACCTACCGCTCATACCCTGAATTCGTTAAGAGTTTGACCATTTCTTGTCTGGTGACTGCTTTACAATGGATATTGTGTAGTGAATGTAAGGAACCTTACACATGTCCCTCTTCTTCTGAGGTTGTTTTGGCATTTGTCTGAAGCAAACTGTTTCTACAGCAAATGGCTACTCATGGCTGTTTTTGTTGGAGTCTCATGTGGTAAACATACAGACAGTTACTTTCAACAGCAGAATATTGTTCAATAAAGAGTCTGTTTCTCTTTCATGTCTGTGCTTCGTTAGATCATCGTAATGTTAAGTGAATAAAGCATCAGATCATTTTAGTTTGTGGTCCATCTCACATTAGAGAGTGGATCTTATCTCATTCCTCAAATGCAGGTACAAATCCAATCCTTGATAAGCATCAATGATCTGAAATAAAAAGTGTTAAGTTTTGATAAAGTTACAAAAAATTAATAATAAATAAACAAAATTTCGAAGAGCAGAGAGTTGGGTGCGCAGCTTTTGCCGTGTCAGCATCTTGGACAGCTCTGGACCTAACGTCCGTTGAAAAGGACCAGCAGAGCGGTGCGCCTCCATGCTCAAAAAGCCATTTTCGCTTTTATTATGAATGATTATTGTAGGACACCACATGAATGAAAGTAATTAAGACTAGTGGACACAATGAGACATATGAGTCCCTTACAGTATTCACAACCATTCAGTGTCTGCTTATTAGAGAATGTTTAAAAAAATGTGGGCCACCATTTAAGATAAAGGTTCAACATAACATTATGATCTTAACTGAATGATACCCATGAAGCATAATTGAATTAGACTTCAGTCCAAATATGCACCACAAAACAAACCACGGTCCTTCAGGTCAGTAAAGAGAGAGATGAAGAATTCCATTGATTCTCTTCAGGGGAAGCCCCACCAACTCTCTTTGCACTGATTAGTTGTGCTCGCCCCTTCGATGTAGCTGTCAATGCCAGAGGTGTCGTGAATGTTGTTACGGAGAAAACGTTGAAAGTCTCTGACTTAAACATTCTCTGTGCCCCGGTCACCTCTTGCAATCCTTGAACAGCCACTGAATCTCTCTACTGCCTCCATGTAGTAGCCTCCAATGATTTTTGCTTCACTGCTTGTAGAGAATGCATTCATCCAGATAATTTTACGGGAAAACCCATCAATGCAGCCATTAATACAGAATGGTTTCAGTTTGTTGTATGAGTCCAAGTGCCAAATATAATTGGGCCCTTTTGCAAAATAGCTTCGGCTGTGACTTCCACACCCCTTGGGTCAAGTTCTTTTAGAATTAAGCAAACCTCTTCTTTCTTGACGCTTAATCCACAATCTTTGCATTTTGTGTACATCCACCTATACCCACAGAGCTGGCCAGATGTTTGCAGCTGTTCTTGAATGAAATTTACAACACGATCCAAAGCGGTGTATCCGTTGCGCCAAAACAGACTACATAACTTCAAAATTAGTTTTCAATGTCTTTCAGACACAACATAAAGATGACGACTTGCAAGCAAAGCAGCAATGTCCTCATAATGAAGTCCCAGGTCAAAATACAAACAAACTAACTCCTGTACTATCATTTTCATACATGCGAATGCAATAGGCTATTTTCAGGTGCGCACCTGAAACTTTTCTCGCACCTTAAAGTTTCAGGTTAAAATTTCGGTCCCTTTAGGGGCTCCGTAATACCAGAGGCTGAAGGACTGAAGCTTTAGTTGATGATAATGACAACTGAACCTCATCCAGCGATCATATGACTGGTGCCAACAGAAGGAAGACTATGGAGCAGACTATTTCAATTCAATTCAATTTTATTTGTATAGTGCCAAATCATAATATACATTATCTCAAGGCACTTTACATAGAAGATTAGGACCTTAAAATCAAAATATAAAGAAACCCAACAGTTCCCACAATGAGCAAGCACTTAGGCGACTGTGGAGAGGAAAAACTCCCTCATTAACAGGGAGAAACCTCTAGCAGAACCAGGCTGAATGGGGGCAATCATCTGCCTCGACCGGTTGGGGTGAGCAAAGAAAATGGGGGAAGGAGATCAGAGAGGGGTTGGAAAGAGGGGAGAGAAGAGAGAGGGATTGTGGGGAGGGGGGAAGTAGGTGAGAGAAAGACCGGGGACACTTGGGCGCCATCAGATCTGACATCAGATCTGACTAGTTAAAAATGGAACAACAGTGTTAAGACTGTTAATTACTGTGGATAACAGACACATTTTATATCATAATGAATTACTGCGATATTGTAATTAGTAGTAGAAGTTGTTGTCCTGAGGTTCCGGGGTCAGAGATATCTGAAATGAGAGAGAAAAAGAGAGAGAGAGACTATGGGAGTACAAAGTGAAATAGTCATTGACATGTATTAAAATAAATAAATGAGTGAATGTGGAGGGACAGAGAGAAGTGGAGAGGTGCTCAGTGGATGATGGGAGTTCCCCCAGCAGTCTAGACCTATAGCAGTATAACCAAGTGATGGTTCAGGACTCACCTGATCCAGAACTAACTATAGGCTTTATCAAAAAGGAACGTTTTAAGTTTAACTTTAAATGCTGAGATGGTGTCTGCCTCCCGAACCCAGAGTGGGAGTTGGTTCCACAGGAGAGGAGCCTGGTAGTTGAATGCTCTACCTCCTCTTCTAATCTTACTGACTCTTGGAACCACAAGAGAGCCTGTGTTTTGTGAACTAAGTGATCTATTTGGATAATATGGTGTTATCAGCTCTTTGATATATGAAGGTGCTTGATTGTTAAGGGCTTTATATGTGAGGAGCAGGATTTTGAAATCTATTCTGAATTTTACAGGGAGCCAATGTAGAGAAGCTAAGACAGGAGTAATATGATCTCTCGTTCTAGTTCCTGTCAGCACTCGTGCTGCGGCATTTTGAACCAACTGGAGATATTTTACCGATTTACTGGGGCATCCTGATAATAAGGAATTACAGTAATCTAATCTAGAGGTAACAAATGCGTGGACTAGTTTTTCAGCATCCTTCTTAGACAGGATGTTTCTAATTTTGTTAATATTGCGCAGGTGGAAGAAAGCTGTCCTAGAGACTTGTTTTATATACTGGTCAAATGACATGTCCTGGTCGAACATAACTCCAAGGTTCCTCACAGTTGAGCTGGAGGCCAAGCTGACACCATCCAATGTAACTATCTGTTCAGACAGTGATTCTCTAAGATGTTTAGGGCCGATTACAACGACTTCAGTTTTGTCTGAATTTAGAAGTAGGAAGTTTTGGGTCATCCAGGCCTTGATGTTCTGGAGACATTCCTGAAGTTGAACTAAGTGATTAGATTCATCATGCTTCATAGAAATGTACCGCTGGGTGTCATCTGCGTAACAATGGTAGTGTATGTGGTGCTTTCTCATGATGTTGCCTAAGGGGAGCATGTGTAAGGTGAAGAGTATTGGTCCAAAGACAGAACCTTGTGGAACTCCATGATTAACTTGCATGTGCATGGAGGGGTCATTGTTGACGTTAACAAATTGAAATCTATCTGATAAATATGATTTAAACCAGTCTAGTGCAGTTCCTCTGATCCCTATATGTTGTTCTAGTCTCTGTACCAGAATCTTATGATCTATGGTGTCAAATGCTGCACTAACATCCAACAGGATGAGTACAGAGACAAGTCCATCATCTGAGGCCATGAAAAAGTCATTAGTGACTTTCAATAGTGCTGTTTCTGTGCTGTGATGGATTCTAAATCCTGACTGAAATTTGTCCAGCAAACTGTTACTATCTAAATAATCAAACAGGTGGTTAGCAACAGCTTTTTCTAAGATTTTAGAAATGAAGGGCAGGTTTGATATGGGTCTATAATTAGCTAAAACCTCTGGATCAAGTGTAGGCTTTTTCAGCAGAGGTTTAATAACAGCTACCTTAAATGCTTGTGGTACATAGCAGGTTAACAAAGACATGTTAATCTGATTTAATATGGAACTGTCAATCAGGGGGAACATTTCCTTAAAAAGTCCAGTTGGGACCGAGTCTAATTGACAAGTTGTTGGTTTACATGATGAAACTAATGAGGTCAGTTCAGGAAGGTCAATAGAATAAAATTGGTTCAAACATAAATCTGGTTCTATGGTTTCAGGACCAGGCAATGTTTCTATGTATGTGATATTCATTGGGAGGAGGTGGTGGATTTTTATCCCTGATGGTTATAATTTTATTTGTAAAGAAGCTCATGAAATCATTGCTTCTTAGGGTTAGAGGAATAGATAGGTCAGTAGATGTGTGGCTTTCTGTCAGCCTGGCTACAGTGCTGAAGAGGAACCTGGGGTTGTTCTTATTTTCTTATCAAAAATGAATAATAATAAGTTCTGGCATTTCTAAGGGCTTTCTTGTAACACATCAAGCTATCCTTCCAGGCTAGGTGAAAGTCATGATTATTGGTGGAACGCCACTTCCTCTCTAGTTTCCGCGTCTGTTTTAGAACGCGTGTTTGAGAATTATACCACGGAGCTGATCTCCTCTGATTTGCCTTCTTCTTTTTTAGAGGGGCGACAGCATCAAGGATTGTTTTTAATGAAGCTGCTGTACTATTAACTAAGTTATCAACTAATGTGGGGGTAAAATTTTGATAACTTTCCTGTATTGTACTGACACATGACTGAGAGGTAAGTGTAGAGGGAAGCAGTTCTTTAAATTTGTTCACAGTTTTATCAGATAAACACAGACTATAATAGAATTTCTGTCCAGAATTTGTGTGATTAGTAATTGTAAATTCAAATGTAATTAAAAAATGGTCAGACAGAAGAAGGTTCTGTTGAAATATTATTAAATTTTCAATGTCTATGCCATATGTCAGAACAAGATCAAGAGTGTGATTCAAACAGTGAGTTCGTTTATTCACGTGTTGAATGAAACCAATCGAGTCTATTATTGATTTGAAAGCTGAACTAAGGCTGTTGGCAACATCTACATGGATGTTGAAATCACCTACTATAATTATTTTATCTGTCCTAAGAACTAGTTCTGATAGAAATTCAGAGAATTCAGATAGAAATTCTGAGTAAGTATAACTTTCTTTTGGTCGAGGGTTGACAGATAGGTTCGATTTAGAGATTGCTGCAACCCCTCCACCTCTGCCTGTGCTACGAGGAGTATGAGTATTAATAGCTTGGGGGCGTCGCTTCATTTAAACCTACATATTCTCCATCTTGCAGCCAGGTTTCTGTTAAACATAATAGATCAATTTGGTGATCG